CACAGCAATGCTGGACCATAGATATCATTTCTAAAGCGTTACAACCTTCAAGACACATTCCGCGATTACCTGATTGGCTTTATTATTAGCTCGGTCCCTAATCTGAAGAATTGTTCCCTTTCGCGGCACGACCATGAGAACAAGGGCATCACGTTCTTCTGATTGTAAACGAACCCTAGCTCCTCACCCGTCTTCCTTTTCCTTTCATTTGTCTCTGGTCTCTGCCCGCTCAACAGCTTTTCATTTTTTCAAAACTAGTCTAATATTGGGTTCTAATTAACGCAATTTCAAGGGATTTGCCCACCCTTCTCTTCACTATGAAGACAATATGCAACTACGTATTCATATTTGGACCCAAAGCCGAAGAATTGTAATCACAGAATGTGCCTTCAAACAGGACCGAATAAATGTCTATTAGTAGTTTTAGATAGCGAAAACTCCTGACCAATTTTCCTCAAGTCCGAGTTCGATCCATTAATTGACGTATGGGAACGATAGGCCGATCGCTGCAGATTCGACGACGATGTAGATGCCTCCGCTAATCGAACAACAAAACTAGATAACAACCACAACCACAAAAATTAGGAAATAAAAAAGCAGAATCATTCAGGATGGTGATAAAGGCACACATCAGTCCACCACACTGCTTATTGGTCAATTAGAAGTAGTTGTTAAATAGTTACAAAACACTTACCGGATCCGACAAGATATGTTGCACCGTCCGTTACTGCCTCCTCAATGAGTCGCCGTGCTTCTTGCCTGCGTTTTTCATCATCTTGTGACTGCAAAGGGTAACAAAATGCGATGAGAAGTCGTAAGCTGACTGAGAAGTTAACAACGAAGTGAAGTACAAGTTTACTATAGAAATCACCGTTCCCGTTGGAAAAGCAGCTGCAGCTGGATTTTCAAGCATTTGACGAGCTTTTCTTCGCAATTCCTCCTTCTTGGTGGGACTGGTGGAACGCCCCTGGAAGAATCCACACTATAGGAAAAACGATGCTTTTAATGCACTGGATAAATCAACCATGGATGAGCCGTTTAGTAAACTCCCTCGAAGCTCATGCCTTCAGAGACGCATTCCGCAGTCGACGGGTTCAAAAAAATCCTTCCCTGTCCAAGCAGCCCGGCCTACAATCTCAGAAACGCCCCTTTTCCCCCCACACATTTGATGACGACGGCGCTGTACTACTAATAATTTGGAGTACGCGACCTCTGGCAGGTGCGCCGACCACTATCGAAATCCGCCTTGCATTCAAAGTCGGGGAGCACCGTTGCTGGAACGATAGGCACATTCCTGAACTTCGTGCTCACTATTACTGACCACCTAGGCAAGTATTTCCGCTCTCCCTAAAAACCTTGTTCAAAGGAGGCACATGAATCGACAGCATTCCGCAAAGTAGGAAGGTTTCAGCGCTGCCTCTCTTCACAAATTATGCAAAGGCACTGGTGTAACAAATCATCGGATTATCGCAATCCCACACATGAGTTTTCAAAGGGTATTTTCCGCTACAGACTGGGCTCCCATGGCACTTTCCTTTTACTTCCTAGTTTCGAATGGCACTCAGTACTGGATGATGCCAATAAACGATTTGTGAGCCCCACGGAAAGCGGAGGCTGCAATGTACCTCTATGCTGGCATAAGTCCGGCAAGCGTGGTAACTCTCAGTGAGACTGCAAAGAGTTCTTCATTTGAAGCATTCTTGTTTCTTTCTAGCTTTTTTTCTCTACTAAAGGTCACTCAATGACTTCGATGTAGATTGTAATGAGAAGCTCTTCTTTTCTTCCAAAAGTTTATTGACAACGTTTCGGGCCTATGCCCTTCTTCAGGTCACTGAATTACACAACTAGAAAGATTTTACACACGCACAATAACACGGCAGGAACAGTCATGACTCTGATATCAGTGTAGGACGTGCACTAGGAAATAAAACGTGACATTCCCTAGATCACCCTTGGTCCTACATCTGTATATATACCCAGAACCCTGCCACTTTCCTATTTTTGCCTATATCCGCACAAGAAGGCTAGGCCCCTACCTCTCCCTCCCGGACAACTCCCTGTAGGTTGCTGCTCTTTCTATGATGACTGTTGCTGCCGTATTATTGTGCGTGTGTAAATCTTTCTAGTTTGTGTAATTCAGTGACCTGAAGAAGGGCTTAGGCCGAAACGTGGTCAATAAACTTTTGGAAGAAAAGAAGAGCTTCTCATTCCCATCCATAAAAACAAGACTGAATAAATTTTCATAACTGGACACCACTTTTAGAGTTAAAGTATATTGAAAAATTAGGAAGAACAAACCGATGACCGGAATGTTGGAAGA